TGGACCACATAGTGTGTTTGTTTTGTCAAAGACCTTTTCCTGGACTCCAGCTTCAGGTTCTAGCATGTATTTGCATCATATTTTACAACCCTGCATAGCCTGTCTCTCCCCCTGGTCCAAGCAAGCTGGAGGTCATGTATCCACGATTGGTATGGGAGTACCTCTAAAGGAAAAAATGCTAACAGTCTGGGGTAGGAATAGAATAAGATTATATTTGTCTACAAAAAAACTATGTACTCATGACCACCCCCCCCCCCAAAAAAAAAAAAAAAAAAAAAAAGAAAAAAAAACAGCTATAAAAGTTTATAGGACATACAAAAAAATAAAAAATCACATCCCTGCATCAGCTGAAGCAGCTAATCTACACCTTTATAGGTTTGAACAAACACCTGGTGAAAAGTCTCCTGTTGGATGAGCCCCAGCATGTGGTTTGTGTCAAAAAACTACTGTACAGATTTCACCATCCTGAGACATTGATCTGTTTCCTCTGTCTACTTACAGTCAGATCTATTTACTTTGGTCTTTAAATAACCTATTGCTGTTCTTTAGGGGGTTTTCTCAGTCCTGTAGAAGTAGAAGGCAACTGGGGTTCTGGCTTACACATTGTGAGTGAGAGTTTTAAATATTCTCATTGTAACTTCTTTTTAGAGAGTATGACCCAGAAAATATCAGGCTTACCTTTGTCAAGGTCTCGGTGATATGTAGTAGCAAACCCATCTTTTTAGTGCTGAACCGAACAGGTTTGGTCTAGAAATAATTGCAAGGCAATAAATAAGGAACCCCAGGATGCAATTTTCACATTTGCTTCTACTACTTTACATTTTTTTTCTCAGCAAAAGAAAGATCTCCTCCTTTATAATATGAATAATATGAAAAACAGAGAATTGAAAAGCCAAAAGAGATTATCTAAAGCTGAGGGGATGCTTACTAACCCTTTGATTTTTAAAGGCTTAAAAATATGAAGATCAAACACCTAACCACTTGAAGTTTTCTCCCATTGGTTGTTTTCATAGTCAGAAATCACAAATGGATATATCTTGATCTTTCATTGTAAGAAAGAGAAAAGACAAGATATATCCCTTCCTAAATCCCATATTGTGATTTGAGCAAAAAATTTCACTATTTTACAGGAGTCAGAAAATTTTTCTTCTCAAAGTTTTCTCTCTCAGGTAGACTTCCCACTGCTGTTATTTTATAAAAAGGTGTGCAGTGCTATGCATCTGTATCTAGTAAAACACCACTGAATTTGCAGTCCAGAGGCTAATCTCTGGGATGTCAGAGGTGAAATAAATGTCCTACTGGTAATGGATTTCTTCTTTCCGTCCCCTCTGGGATTATGTGACTATAGGCAATGTTACAGTTGCAAAAAAAAAGGCAAATCAGGAGAGCATAATAAGTCTATAATAATGATGTAAAGGAAATAAGAATATTAAACAATTTTCCTCTACATTTAAGGGATTATTCTCAAATTGTAGTCAGTGACATGGTGAAGATCCATACTGCCAGGGAAAAGAAAGTTACAGGGAAATGTTGTTTTGCTCATGAAGCACTAATCGTGACAGTTTGATGGTTGTTCTGCCTTAAGTCTCTGCTTACCTTGACTCTACTACTTAGGTTTTAGAAGACTGCAGAAAATGGTGGGTTTAGGTTCATTACAGTATTGATAAGCAGAGAAACTACTTAAAATGTTTTCAAAATTCTTTTCATCTAACACATAACGGATAAATCTTGGATTAATGGATCATTAATACAGGATGTCCCTGCAGCCACATATTCTGTTCATTTTCTACTGGCAAGTTATAGCATGATAAAGGTATGAAAGTGCAAAAAGCTTCTTTTCTATCTTGCTTGCAGTCACACAGTAAAGTGCTGGAATACCAAGCAAATAAAATAAAGCCCGTTGCCATCAAAAGCCTGTTCTGCTGGTACTGAAGACTGGAGATACGTAAAGAAAGGTCATTTCTCTTTGCATAGAAATTGATGGTTTTGTTATGTTTATCAAATGAACAAAACGATCCTGATCCTTAACTAGAGTTTAAATTAAAAATAAAATAAAATAAAATAAAATAAAATAAAATCTAAAAGTGACATTGGAAATAGTATAAAATGGCTAAGAACTTCACACTGGAATCTGGGTCCTAGTTGGTGGAGGTCTAGTTTTCTAATAGTCAGAGTCTGGATATTACTGGAAGCCATGCATGGAGAAGGCTTGCCTTTCTCCCGTCTCTCTCTCTTCTTTCAAGGGTGACAGGTCAATAGCATCCCAGGGCATACTGAGCTAATGCCAGCAGTATTTCTCCTTTGTGGATCAAATAGAAGAATTGGAATGAGCCTTCCTCAAATTCTCTTTCAGGATCTCCTCCAGGCAAAACTTTGAGGTTTGCATAACTCTGAAAATCAATCTGCCTACTTTGGCAATGAAAAAGAAGCCTCTTATTTTTGCCAAGCAAAAATATATTTCTTCTTAGTAACATCTTTCATTACTAATATGTCATTTCTCTTTCCCCACTCCCTCCCCCCCCCCCCCCCCCCTCAACCTCCCCCCTCCTTTTTTTTTCTCTCTTGCTGCGATTTTTCCCTCCTTTAAGGACATTTTTACACATACTGTTTCAGGCATGCTGAGGCAAGAGTAAGTTCTATGCAGTAGTTTATCAGAGTGTGTGAATTTGGTGTGGTCAAACAAAACATTTAACTTAGTGTTCTGAATGCATTGTTGAAAACTGAAAGATGAGATGAATAAATGGAAAAATCAATTTTCCTTCACTTCCTGAAGTACTCCCAGAAGCCTTGCTAAGTACAATCCAAAAAATAGAAAAAGAAAATAAGAATGTCACTTTGCAATTAATAAATAGAAGTATGTTTTCAATACAACATTGCCAGAATAAAAGTAAAGCAGCTATCATCTTCATTTTTGATCAAGGCAAAGAATTTTTGTGATGCTTTTCATTTTCTTGTATGAAATACTATGTTTAGTTTGGAGCCCACGATAGCCACAAGGATGTCATGATGTGGTACCTTCTGCCATTAGAACTTTGCAATAACAATTAAGAAATCTTAGATCAGGACCTCCAAGACAAGATCCTTTAGGGAGTTTCAGGAGACAGTTTGTGTCTCAAACATAGATATTTATTTACTCCCCCCCAAAAAAAATAAGATGCACATATGTCTGCTCAGTGATCCAGCTGTGTCTGCTTCTTGCAACGGCTCTTGTGGTGGGTTCTTTCAAAATTTCCGAATGTAGCAGGCACTATAACGATAATCTCAAATTCTTGGCAATTTTCTGTGTTCTGGTGTGTTTTGAAATATCACAGATATGCCCTATCTTTAAATCCAAGATGTCTAGAAATCGATCGTGCTCCTCTGACTCATGCTTTAATCTTTCGTGGAAGAGGAAAGAGCCTCTAGCTGTACATTATGGATTTAAATCAAGACAAGTTCGAGGGGCCATACAAAGAGGGTAGCTGCTAAGATAGGTTAGAAAAAGGTCACGCTGGATCACATCGATCACTAGTTACAGCTTTAACTACACAGAGGAAAATCACCAAGGCACAATATCAGCAATGCACAGCTTTCATCGCACCTTTGTCAACTCTGTGGGTGATGGAGTACAGGTTGTAAGTCCTTGATGTTAAATATGGTAATGCCCCATGGAGTTAAAGTTAATAATAAAGAGAGGAACAAGAGAACACAATGTTGAACAAAAGGGGCAAGTTGAAGTGATTTATTGGCAGGGCTGAATTTTTCATTATGATGTAATGGAGAAAAAGTTTTTTTAAACATCAAGAGATTTTATATTTTTTATGGCTAGACATGAGTTCCTAGCAATAAGATGAGTAGACAGAAGATGTTTTTGTCTTACATTGCATAATTATTCCATATTGAAAAGTATCTATTCTATTCTGTGTTCTCGTCAAGCATTTACTCTCATAAATTAAGCAGACAATAATCACCTACAGCTCCTCAAAGCTTTCTGTTCCTGATTGATGTCATTGTGCTTAATTCATCCTTTACATCAGGGTTAAGCCTGGCTTGCTTCGTTTTAGTGCTGCCCCTATTATATTTTCTTAGTTGTTGTGGTGTACAGATATTTTTTAAGACTAAAATAGAGACATATTGAAACAAAAAAGAACCTATGTAATAAGATTTGGAGAATAGTCTTGCTCTCTTGTTTGAGTAGATCACATTCATGAAGAGAAACTGTATTAAGAGCAAAGGGTTCACTGTGCTAGATTGTCTTTTAAGGAGTAAGTAGAATCCAGAAACAGATTTTTGCTGTATTGCATTACAAATACAAAGCATACCACTCCATACAAAGAGATGATATGATTTGGAACCTATCTATACTATTAAATTTCTTTCTTTTTTTTTTTTTAATGAAAAAAGATATTTTCATAAGTGGAAAATGCATCATTGACCACACAAGACAGAACAAATGTCTATCAACTTTAACTTTCCAGTCCATAGTCCATTAACTGAATTAAAGATATCACTTAAAAGTAAAAATAGTAATTTTTAAAAAAATCTCATTTTTCCTACAACCGGATAAACGTTAGGATGTACAGTTGTGTTCATTTTTGAGAAGGTAGTGGCAGAAGGTACATTGACACGTAGCCCATTTAAGAGCCAGTCTTGTCAACTGTTGATCATACTAAAACATTCATGGGGGCAGAAGGTGTAATCCAAGTTCATGCCAGGCCCATTTGTACTTCTCTGGAACCTGATTTAAGCCTAACATTACAGAATGGTGGCAAAAGAACAAATTGTTTTAAGAAGATTCACCTCAACCATTAAATGGATTTAGGCTGTTGTGCAGGAACTTCCAACTTAGCCTTTTGATTTAAATGATCCTCTCTACTACACTGAAGTTGTTGGTTGTACCAATAGCTGTTTTTCTTGTTATCCCTGTGGAGTCATTATAGAGGAACATGCTTGCATTCTTGAAATTAATTCATTTATTTTTTACTCAGTGCCTGTGTATACACTTTTGTCATTTAATAAAGGTGAATTTGACCAGAGGAGCCATTTTTTCACCTCCAAACATCACTGAAGCTGAGTTTACAGTCCAGTAGAGAAGATGTGGGTAAGTTTTATCATTTGCCACTTCTCAGCTGGGCTTCCTCATTTGAATGGCTAAAAACCTCAGGCTAAGCAAGTTCATTTTATGGGGGTTATAAAAATATATCCCAGTAAAACAGACTAATTGTTCCATCTCTTCTGGACCATGGCCGCCAACTAAAATTATTATAACTATTAAGGAGATGTGATTTACATTAGCAGCATATGAGGGTGGCAGGTTTTTTTGTTGTTGTTGTTGTTTTTTGGTTGGTTGGTTGGTTTTGATTTTTGTTTTTTGACTGGAATGATTGTTCACTGTTGTGCCTTCACATAACAATAAATGAGAAAGGATATAGCAATTAAACTTATCAACAATATTGCTGGGAGAGATGAAAATCAAAATGGCAAAATAATATCCCTTTATTCCAAATCCCCAACGGAAATAAATTATGCTAGCAAAGTTGGTGTTTTGCTGTAATGTTTACACTGCCTTTAGGTTGTTAGTCAGCTAAGCTTTGCTGATGGGGCAGGGATTTCTTTCCTGTCTTCTTAACCAATAAAATTGTGCCAGCAAAACCTTCATGTGAAGACAGGATCTAAGTGACATATTTCAGCTGAATGGTCTCAAAATGTTTTCTGTGTGTTTCAGTCTCACAAATGGCCCTTAAACACTAGTTTACCACAGCTGGCTATGTAACTGCATTAGATGGTTCAATGTTTTTATACGTAATTATGAAAACAATAGCAGCATAACATACAACGGGAACCTTATTCCTCCAAGAAACTCTTTCAAATATTGTATTACACATATACTTTCTCTTACTCTCTATTTTTTTAAATCACAAGAACTACAGACTCTACAGACTTGCGAGTTCAAGTCCAGTGCAGCAGAAGTGGAATTCTTAGAGATACACAAAAAGGCAGAATAATGGCAACTTTAAAAAATAATTATATGGCTGGTAGTTGTTGCTAAGATTATTTTTGTCAAATAGAGAAGAAATAAATAAGTTTCAAGAAGTAATTAGAAAAAGAGGTGGATGGTGGTTTTTCTCAGTGGATCCTATTTTGTTGGCCTGTGTTTTCAGCTTTTAGTATTCCTCTAGTCCCACTTTTGCATGTGGTATTATGGGACCATTTACATGTGAAATGGGACCGTTTACATGTGAAAGCAGATGCTGAAATTTCCTTGGATGTTTAGTCACCTTGAATTTTCCTAGGAAATAATGTAAAACTTTTCATGTGTCCTTAATCACATTTCAGTAATCCAGGACTATGATTCAGCTCTTTTAGGTCCACTGCACACCCTGAGTGGAATAACCTCATACAGACTTCTGTCAAAACATATGGAGATAATACAGTGGGAAGTAGAAGGATTAGCGATAATCAGCCCCTTTCATCCCCTCTGAGAGTGGTACCAGATTTGTCCCCCACTGGAGCTACTTAGATCATGTTAGACAGCATGCCTGACTCTAAAACTACTGAGCTTCTGCAGTCCCGTTGACTCACTTGGAAGTGTAGGTTCTCAGCTGTCTTTCTCCAGACATCCAGATTTCTCCAAAATCTGCTGGTTGGTTCCACAACCCCACCCTGAGCTAGCGTCCTCAGACACAGTCACCTTGGTATAATGACATTTCTAGATAGAACACAGCCTTCTGTCCACTCCTCCCCAGCACCCTCTGGCCAGTGGGACTGGTTGGATTCAGGCTCATCCCTGCCCTAATTCACTTGGGGATGTTGAAATCTAGGTGAAAACTGCTGGTTTCACTCAGAGTTTCACCATGAGCTCCTCAGGCACAGAGGATTCTGATTGCTTCCTCTGGGTATTTTGCACCTAACCTTTTGTTATAGTGAGCCACTCCTCAATAAAGGTTTAAATTAGCATCTCTATTATTAGATTGAGTGTATTTGTCTTAGGCTAAGCTGGGACAGTTAATAATTGTGCAGTAATTGAAACATGCCTTTGACATCACCTCCCGGCTGACTAATTGGATAGTGTCTAGTTGTGCTATTCTCTTCAGCCTGAAAGGTAACTCCCCAACAGTATTAAACTAAAACTAAATTGACCTGTCTCAGAAACCAATGCATGAGTTCATATTTTACACTAGAGACATTTCTTAACAAGTTAAGTGAGTAAGGTAAAAGTTTGTGCTTTGGTGCTTGGTGGAGCTCAGTGACTTCTTGTGTCGCCCAGGGTTCCGAAAGTCAGCTTTGCTGCTGCTTTGCTTTTATCATAATTATTTCCATCAGACAGTATGGGTTTTAGAGCCCTCCATATAGGAATACTAGCATTATATTCTCTCACCATATGTAAATGAATATGTGAATTGAGAAGTATTAAAATTAAGTTATTGAGGTAGTTTAGAGCATGTAACACACCCTCCATAACACTATTTATAAACATAAAGAGAGAAGTGAATGGCTCAGTTAAAACAGCCAGCTGACTATGTGGCTTACAACATATAAAACACTTCCCTCATAATGTTTGCATTTGTGGGAATATTTTTTTCCTACGCTTTATCATGCATTGATTTTAAATGACTGATCTCTTGCACGATAGCCTGTGTGGCTGTGATACAGCTGGCAGGCAACCTAAGGCATTCTTTATTTTTTAAATAAATAAGTTAAAAGCAATGATTGAAACTGTGACTATGTAAGTCAGGTTATTTATACTATGTTTAATATAAAGAAAGCTATAATGCAAATTTGAATTCACCTACAGATCACTGTGTCACTTCATACATTATTCTAAAACTGTTTCTGATGCAAAATGCTAGCTGACTACCCATGACTTTTCTTGGAGGGCCAGAAGAGTTTTTTTTTCATTGAAACCACTTGTTCTTTTCCTAAAACTGTAAAGAACAGGACTGCATGTTGCTCTTTACACATGCAGATTACCTGAATAGTTCAGAGATCAACACCTGCATGAATTCACAGCTGATGTAAATCAGCAAATCTCCATTGCCTCCTATCTAAATGCAATGTAACTTTGGGAAATGTCAGGCATTATTATCAAAAGGGTAAACAAAAGATTAGCCAAGATCCTCAGTCACCACCAGCTTCTTGCAACTTCAGTGGTGAAACATCAAACCCCCTTTATGGAGAAATTTAATGTAAACTTGAAGTATGATTTATTTTTTCACTACAGAAAAGGTATGGCCATGTCAGATATACTAGAAAAAATATGAATGTATTTATAATTTCAGCAATATATATTACTTAATACAAGTGCTATTCCAAACATGCTGCATAAATCCACACTTTAGATCTTTGCAGCTGAAGCAATCCTAGTCCCCTGGAAGAAATGGAAGTCTTGGCTAACCTGAGCGTATCCTGTGCCTCCCAATCCCACCCTTGGAGCGGGGTGAAAGGATTTCAGAGATTTACTGTGGCAACAAGCCTAAGCCCATCCATTTAATTTCAGAACTATTTCCCTTTTTGCAAAGGGAAAGCACACAGCTTTTCATTGTGCATCACTTTGTGGAGTATAACCCCTCTTGATTAAGGCAATATATAAATGCAAAACTCCTGTACCCATGCCATTGACTGGTTATGCTGATGGTCCATGTGCTTAATCTGCTGCTGCTCGTGCTGTGATCTTAAAGGCTCTCCATCATGTGACATATTCAGGTTAGGTTAAATTTATATCTCAGTTTGTTTCAGGCTGAGATTTTTCATAGTTTTTTAAGGGTTTAGAATGCCAATTTCCCTCCACACTGAACTGGAGTAGATGTGAAAGTAACATTTCCAATTCAAAAAGTTTTTTTTGTGACTCAGCTGAAGCATTTCACTCACTTTAACTAAAAACTTCCAGTACAAAGACTGTTAACATATTTACAAGTGGTGTTTACTGAACAGATGCTGCTCTCACGTGTCATTAGGAGGAAAATAGGTGATAAAATTCCTTTCGCTGAATCAACGCAGTTAGTGCAACTTTGGGAAGGAGTGATAGATTCCTTTGAGTCCCATAGTGCCCTTCCCAGCTCCAGCTGCCTTTCCACATGTAAGAACCTTATAGTAAAGACCCATGGGCTTTTTCTTGTAAATCATGTTGATTTCCGTCTCTTAAAACAAGGCTAATACTTGGTTGAAAAATCACCTTTGTTAATAAATTTTTTTTTTTTTTTAAAAAAAAAGGGGGGGGGGGGGCTCACACATATCATCTCTTCGTTGAAAGATAAAGATGGTCTGACTGCTTTTCTTTCTGTAAAAATTATTTATTTGCTCTCACCTCTCCATGTTTCCATGCAGTTATTGGAGTCCCTAAGGACTCCAATATCTGCAGCAGGCAAATAAAATTTCTTCTCTTAATCCCTGAAGCTCAGCAGCTACGTTGTGTTTCAAACACCTGGAAGGAAGGAACAGGTGTTGTCATTTTTCTTCAGCACAATTTATTTTCTTTTTTTTCAGAGCTATTAATAACTAGAATAGTAGAATTCTGTCCTTGCATTCTGAGTTCTTTCAGAGCTCCTGGATGGTCCCAAATAATGTAAAATTTCAGTAGGGGCTGTTGTCTCCCATGAAGGTGGCACTGGGGACAGATAAAAGCAACTCCAGAAAATTGAACTTGTAGCCAGATGGGATACCAGCTGGCAATCTTTTTTAAAGTTGTCACAGGTGAAAGATGAAAAAGGAAAAGAACAGAAGCTCAGCTAGGTATAACTTCAACCTGCTGCATATGAGGCTTTAAAAGTATGATTTACTGATCTCATTGTAAGAACTTGCATTAACTTTTCTTCCTGTATAGTAGAACTCGTATGTGTATATACAGTGCTACTACTTTCATCATCTAACAAGAATAATTTATAGATTAAGGCCTGTAGATGACTTTATTATACAGTCACCAGCTTCATGAAGCACTGCCTGCTTTGAATAAGCATTATCATCCCATGGAGGCAACTCACAGAATGATAATTAAATCCTCTGGTCATTTGCCAATTACCACAAAAGTTCTTTGTCACACAGTAGGACAATGTGCTGTGTAACTGAGCAGCTGAGGGTTTGTTTTGTATATTATTTTCCCTGTTTT